CATGTTGATCCAGAGTCTCAGATACTTGGCCCTGACACCTTTCTCCAGTAACACATCACGCGACAGGAACTTGCCAATATCAGGTTGCAGTGCATCCATATCATGGAAGTGTCATAGCACTGTCGGAATCAGCGTCACAGCTGTATCACGAAGGCTTGCATTTGACCTTATTAAGACTGCACCACAGAGACCTGAACTGAGCAATACCACAGCTGAATCATCGAGACCTGCATTAGTAAATACCACAGCTGTATCACTGAGACCTGCATTAGTAAATATCACAGCTGTATCATTGAGACCCGCATTAGTAAATACCACAGCTGTATCATTGAGCCCTGCATAAGTAAATACCACAGCTGTATCATCGAGACTTGTATCAGTAAATACCACAGCTGTATCATTGAGACCTGCATTAGTAAATACCACAGCTGTATCATCGAGACCTGCATAAGTAAATATCACAGCTGTATCATCGAGACCTGCATTAGTAAATACCACAGCTGTATCATTGAGACCTGCATCAGTAAATACCACAGCTGTATCATCGAGACCTGCATTAGTAAATACCACAGCTGTATCATCGATACCTGCATCAGTAAATACCACAGCTGTATCATCTGGACCTGTATTAGTAAATACCACGGCTGTATCATCGAGACCTGCATTAGTAAATACCGCAGCTGTATCATCGGGACTTGTATGAGTGAATGCCACAGCTGTATCATCGAGACCTGCATTAGTAGATACCACAGCTGTATCACCGAGACCTGCTTTAGTAAATACCACAGCTGTATCATTGAGACCTGCATTCAGCAATACCGCAGCTGTATCATCGAGACCTGCATTAGTAGATACCGCAGCTGTATCATCGGGACCTGTATGAGTGAATACCACAGCTGTATCATCGAGACCTGTATGAGTGAATACCACAGCTGTATCACAGAGACCTGCATTAGTAGATACTGCAGTTGTATCATCGAGACCTGTATGAGTGAATGCCACAGCTGTATCATCGAGACCTGCATTAGTAGATACCACAGCTGTATCATCGAGACCTGCATTAGTAAATACCACAGCTGTATAATCGAGACCTGCATTAGTAAATATCACAGCTGTATCATCGAGACCTGCATTAGTAAATACCACAGCTGTATCATCGTGACCTGCATTAGTAAATACCACAGCTGTATCATTGAGACCTGCATTCAGCAATACCACAGCTGTATCATCGAGACCTGTATGAGTGAATACCACAGCTGTATCATGGAGACTTGCATTAGTAGATACTGCAGTTGTATCATCGAGACCTGTATGAGTGAATGCCACAGCTGTATCATCGAGACCTGCATTAGTAGATACCACAGCTGTATCACCGAGACCTTCTTTAGTAAATGCCGCAGCTGTATCATCGAGACCTGCATTAGTAAATACCACAGCTGTATCATCGAGACCTGCATTAGTAAATACCACATAGCGACTGTATCCTGTTTCGCCTGTTGTCAATCTCAGCCTAATGTTGACGCTGTAAGTGTTGTACATGGGTAAATGCTGTGGGCATGTTCATCATCAAGTAGCAGACAATGAAAGTGCTTATTGAACTTCGATTGCTGTAGATAAATCCCCTTTTAAGAGTGATTTCGGAAAAAAACTGTTGAACAGAAAGAGCGCTTCACCAGGGAGCAGTCCCGAACTAGAAATATACTACCAAAAGGAAGCTAAGGACACAGGATTCTTTCATGTAACTACAATTTCTCCGACATGTGAAGGAATCGAATTGTTCTTAATTTCTATTGAGTGGTATAAGATGATGCTTAACTTTGGTTATACCGTTAGTTTCGGTGTAAGCGTGTACAGTGTGGGGACCTTTTCACCGTCGGAACTTACATGCAGGGTGATGGACGTCATAATCTCTTACATCCCAGTTGGTGGGTTGGGAGTGCTGTAATGAATCGATTATATCTGTAAGGTGAAGTTAGGTTTCATTTCACCTCACCTCATGTTAGTACAATGTTAAGTATACAATGGATGTGTGATTGCGTCAATGCGTTACTGATCCCCTTTCACACTCAAGCCAACCAGCCGCCCAACTCAGGCACCAGCTGTAAGCTGTGACAATCGGATTACCTTTCTCTTCATTACCAAACTTACATAATGCCTCACCAGCAGATCAAGACTTCAATTACAAACATCGAACAGAATGGACCCCTGCTAATAGTCATTTGTGTACACGGAATACTGAGTAATTATTGAGCATTCTTAGTGTTAATAGAAAGTAATTAGCTGCAGGACTAATCTACATTGGAAAATATGATTTGGCATATCTACAAAATGGCGTATAAATTATTGCTTTGTTTTACTGAAAATAGATTTTTATGAATATTTACGTTTAACCTGTACAGACTAAATATCCTTTTTGGCAAACATCAGGCAGATATATTTCTTTGTTAAAAGAGAATTGTTATGACATTATTATTGAAATATAAGTGTAAAAGTGTCACAGTGCCGTCACGCGGCCCGCAGTCAGCATGAACGCTATATACAGCCGTGGTATTGCTACTCACCACAGGGACCTATTGTCTTACTAAAACAGTCTACCATTTTTAAAAAGAAAATCTAAATAAAGACAAGTTTTTGTATAAAAAGTTTACACACCTTAACACTCATTAAGAGTATTAATTTCTTACCATTTTCTCACTATTTGAAAGACATCACCTTAAGCTAATGTTACACTTTTCTAAACATATTCATTCATATGCACGCTTTGGAAATATGTCGTTGTACGATTTACATCGTCCCAATAGTCACATCTAGCTAGCCACAGGTATTTCATATTGTACTTTGCTTTGAGCATTGCTTCCCGTATGTGTTAGTGTGTAACTTTAATCAACATTTCAGTGCTATTGTGTTTTAACGGAGCTGTCAATAGCACTGACCCTAGTTCGCCTTGATTTAGAGCCTTGCCCTCAAATGACTGATATACTCCTTAACAACGCCGGTGGCTACACTGAAGGGTGAAGAATGGCTGCCAGGACGATAATGACCCTGTCCTGAGTATGTGCTGTTGTCTTACATCTCAAACACTCTCCGTCCCCTGGGGGTACAGAAAGTAATACACCCCAGAGTCCCTGCTGTAGGTAAATACGATTATGTAACCAGCACTGTATTGTCAGTGATCACAGAGGACCGCTCAGGGCGAGAGCGGTCGACCAAGTCAGCAGGATGGGTCAGGGTGACTCAAGATTTTCAGGCAGCTTCATTAGTGGCAAGGGGATTACAGCAATCAATCCTCTCAGGTTTGGCACTTAAATCTTGTACAGGTCACGTGACATGACCTAATACGGTGACCTGTCAATCAGGTATAGTTGAAAGGCAAGAATCAGTCCGTTATTTAAGGGCCGGCTAGCGAAGCGAGAGGACGTCTGAGGGTCACTACCGTGTTCACTGTTACAGCTTATACCCATACACTATGGATGACGACGTTGCTGCGTTAGTTATTGACAATGGCTCCGGCATGTGTAAGGCCGGGTTCGCCGGCGATGACGCCCCAAGAGCTGTTTTCCCCTCCATCGTCGGCCGTCCCAGACATCAGGTAAGTTATTAAGCTTGTAAACATTTCAAGTACGTAATAATGATATCTCCGACCAACCACTCTGCCATCAAATTGCAAATCTTCCAAGTGTTAGAACTGGTTAACATTTTCCAAATATATAGACACGTTCAGATATTATCACATGGTTATATCATATAGTTTAGGAGTGGTTAAAGACGATCATTTAGTCTCTGAAAATACGTCACTTTGATATAAACATGCAACTACTTAACAATTCAAAAGGAGCACCTGCGAAATGGAGATGGTGTATCTAGACATGTTTCAGGGATCAGGCACTACCCTAGGGGAACATAATGGGGCTCAGTTTATTGTGACACAAACTAGATTGGTTGAACTACTGGGAGAGCGCAGTAATTGAAACGTTTTATTTACAGAAACCATTATACGTTAAAGTATTATTGTTTAAGAATAGGTAAACTATAACACTGACCAGATAAACACATCTTTGTCTGTAATTCCTCAAAAGAATAAATGATTTTACAGCCTGGGCATCCTCCAATCCTTGAGTTGTATATTGATGTGAGGATCTGTCGTTTCAGATGATAACATAGGTGTATTTACACAGGTGTTGTCCGTAATTGACATTTACACGTGAGCGGAAACAGAACATTTAGCTACTGAATCCCAGTCATTGTAAGAACAACTGACATTGCTTGGGCTATTGATCTTAAGTCATAACACCGTGGGACTGTCTGTCGGACAGTTACCTATGATATTAGACTTCACCTTATGTATTCATTCTTTCATGTGAGATATGTACTTGCTGTAACATGTAGTTCAACATATCTTTTCTTATCTTTTCTTATCTGTCGGGTGCAATATTCCACGTGCATTATTATCAGGGCATATAGTTCCTTACCGTAACGGCCTGTTTATGTAATTAACCTCTTTGGTCATGTGGACAAAGCGTCCAACTTCCGATCACGGGACTTGGAAATTTAATGACCTCTACAATTACATATAACTGAGATAGACACGTATATGGAATATTGTCCTTTTATCCCTTGCTACATATGCTATACTTACATTACTTTCATTGTCGTGAATTGATATTTAAGATATCCGCTTTACATTTGTTTCAGATCTTTATTATATGTAATGCTTCAATGTCTTTGCTTCCAGGGTGTGATGGTCGGTATGGGACAGAAAGACAGCTACGTCGGTGACGAGGCACAGTCCAAGAGAGGTATCCTCACCCTCAAGTACCCGATTGAGCACGGAATCGTCACCAACTGGGACGACATGGAAAAGATCTGGCATCACACCTTCTACAACGAGCTCCGTGTGGCTCCAGAGGAGCATCCCGTTCTCCTGACAGAGGCTCCCCTTAACCCCAAGGCCAACCGTGAAAAGATGACCCAGATCATGTTCGAGACCTTCAACTCTCCAGCTATGTATGTGGCCATCCAGGCTGTTCTGTCTCTGTACGCTTCTGGTCGTACGACAGGTATTGTGTTGGACTCTGGTGATGGTGTCAGCCACACTGTCCCGATCTACGAAGGTTACGCCCTTCCTCATGCCATAATGAGATTGGACCTTGCTGGCCGTGATCTCACTGATTACCTGATGAAGATCCTGACTGAGCGTGGTTACTCCTTCACAACCACCGCTGAAAGAGAAATCGTCAGGGACATCAAAGAAAAGTTAGCTTACATTGCTTTAGACTTCGAGCAGGAAATGCAGACTGCTGCTGCTTCGTCTTCATTAGAGAAGAGCTACGAGCTTCCCGATGGTCAGGTCATCACTATTGGCAACGAGAGGTTCCGTTGTCCAGAGGCCCTCTTCCAGCCATCCTTTTTGGGTATGGAATCAGCCGGTATTCACGAAACAACATACAACTCCATCATGAAGTGTGATGTTGATATCCGTAAAGACTTATATGCTAACACTGTTCTCTCAGGAGGTACCACCATGTTCCCTGGTATCGCCGACAGAATGCAGAAGGAGATCACAGCTCTCGCTCCTGCAACAATGAAGATCAAGATCATCGCTCCCCCAGAGAGGAAATACTCCGTCTGGATTGGTGGCTCCATCCTTGCCTCTCTGTCCACCTTCCAGCAGATGTGGATCAGCAAACAGGAGTACGATGAGTCAGGCCCATCCATTGTTCACAGAAAGTGCTTCTAAGCCACACTCGGTGTATTGTTGGACATGTGCAATATTCAGTCAAGAATATCTACACAACCCGATAATTTATCAGTTTCTCTGAATAATATATGTTTTTTTCCAAATAAAGTGATAAAAATAAGCTTTTGTATACTTCGGTAGATGTTGGAAGGTATATACACGTTAGCAATAACAGAAGCTAAACGACAGATAACATCGTATTCTTGAATATCTCCGTAAACAGAATGTATGAAGCTTATAGGGGTAAAATAAAGCGGAAAGCCATCAGGACCTGGCGTTCAAGCACAGGATAATCATTTTCATGCATTACCATTAGCACCAGCTTCTCTCCGAATTGCCATTAATATAGGTGCCAATGTGTAAGCAGGTATAAAGATAAGGCGCTGTCATTTTATTTGTGAAGATCGCAGTACAGAAGAGCATTTTGCATTACAATTCACGTTGCCTCAAGTTGCAATATATATTTTTTCATTTTCTTATGTGCGCTTGCACCTATTACAGTTAGATGTTGGGACATTCTCATGATTGCTAACGGGACGTAGTATCTACGGTTACATAATACCAAACCCATATACAAACACCCGCCCTGTGGATAGTGCATTGTCCTGTTCGCTACGCGACTCCAACTTTGATTAGGAACCATCTTTAATCTATCGGTGGAATCTACTTTTCCTGTTGTCAAACTCTAGCCATTACGTTTTGTATTACTATTTTGTTTTGGACACAAACTATTTAATCATGTTATCAACCAACACCACCTTCTGAGAGGGCCTTCATAATCCAAAATCCAAAGCGTGTTCTCGCCACGTTGGTGCCTATTTGATCCCATTGCAGATAACGAATAGTCGACAGAACGCGGACACAGTGAAACATCCTTGTATCCTTCCATGGTTTAAGTACATATATTGCAGGGGGATACTATATCTAAATACAAACGTAATGTAAATATTATATGCTGACATATAGTTCTGGATATGAGGCGACTAACGGGATCGGGTGGTCAGGCTCGAGCTCGCTGACTTGGTTGACACATGTCATCGGTTCCCAGTTGCGCAGATCGATGCTCATGCTGCTGATCACTGGATTGTCTGGTCCAGGCTCGATTATTTACAGACCGCCGCCATATAGCTGGAATATTGCTGAGTGCGACGTAAAACTAAACTCACTCACTTAAGTTCTGGATCAACGACATTCTATTTTTGATACTAAGATCTACAAGACTTAGTAAATAATTCACATAATAAATGAAAAAGTGGAGCTCACTTATGAACATTCTAATACACTAGTATTTGTGGAGGGTTTCACAGCTCTCTCATAGGTATTCTTATAGCAAACACTACGTAATTTAGGAATGATGTGATTTGCATCAACGTTCAAAATGTAAAACTTTGAGGATCTGGGGAGTAATAATCCCCAAGAACGTCACGAATTTACTACGGGCTAACTGAACTGAAGATGTGGAATAGACAATGGATGTTTGAGATGTGTGATTTGAGTTTTAATTACTAGTACGTTTGCTGACACCTTATGAATTTTGTGGAGACAACTTTCGATCTGTTGAAATCACGCTCGCTCCATATCATACTCACCCTACTCACATCATACTGAAAAACATACTCCCACCATACTGACATCATACTCCAACCCTACTGAAATCATAGTCCCACCATACTCACATCATACTGAAATCATACTCCAACCATGCTAAAATCATACTCCTACCATACTCACATCATACTCAAATCATACTCCTACCATTCTCCCATCATAATGAAATCATACTCCAACCATACTCACATCATACTGAAATCATACTCCTACCATTCTCCCATCATACTGAAATCATACTCCTACCATACTCACATCATACTGAAATCATACTCCAACCATGCTAAAATCATACTCCTACCATACTCACATCATACTCAAATCATACTCCTACCATTCTCCCATCATAATGAAATCATACTCCCGTCATACTCACATCATACTGAAATCATTCCCTACCATTCTCCCATCATAATGAAATCATACTCCCATCATACTGAAATCATACTCCCACCATACTCCCATCATACAGAAATCATTCTATTATACGGTCTTTGCTGTTAGTTTGTAAGTGAAGTATAACGATTAGAAACGGACTAAATAAACACCTGGTTCAGCGTCCATCCCCTGAAGAAAACATCCCTGTCGACAGTGACAGAGAAGAGAGACGAATGGTCAACACTGAACCTTTGTTGAGCAGGTGATAACAGTATCGAAAGGTAAGTCTACCACACACTCCGTCCCCTGCGGTGCCGTGGGCCTAATAGGTAACTAACATTGCGTAATTAGCATTATGTTGTCAGTAATCACAGGGGACCGCTCGGAGCGTATGTGCCTCGCCATGCCCGTCAGCGGGATATAGTGTGCGTGTACGTGTGCGTGTGCGTGTGCGTGTACGTGTGCGTGTTTGCTCCCGCCGTGGAAACTCCTCATTAAAACAATCTAAACATTGGAGATATGGTTCAATTCAAAATATGGAATTGCGGATTTCGGTTATTGTCACTGATGCGTAAATGAATAAGAAGGAGATGAGGCTTCTTTTCTAGTTCAGGTGAGTAAATCAGTGGTATCTGATGGATAGTTTCTGAACGATATCATATCATCGATTCACTTGAAGTTACCTTCTGGCCAAATTACCTTGGTTTGACTTAACTAATCCGAGGAAATGTAGATTCCAATACAGAAAGAAACAACTCCGCAAGACAGGGAGCACCATTGCCCTCCATGGGGAAGCCTAATTCTTGTCTTAACCCAGTAAGCTTTTCATATGCTATGAAACTGAAATTATTTAGGATCAGCTAAATCCTCTATTGACCTGTAGCTGAATAAACACTATAAAACGCTTCATATGAAGTCACTTCATTATATAAGTTAGTTCATCGTACTATTCCGGCTGTATTAGGAGCATGTCAACTATTACTGATACCATGTGTTTGCATGTGATTTTATTCTGCACCGAAGTGGCATCCTTTGCAAATACACCAACATGACGTCAGCGATAAATGGTGATTAGATGCCACTTTATGGTGAAACATATTAGTTAAATATTACGCCAAATGAAGCATAACTCTTAAAATACTATATGATAACAAGATAATTGTAAGCGAAAACAAACCTGGGTCCTCGCATCTTCAGTTCTCGATCGGGCCCTCTCCACTGGGATTACCTTTTAAGGTAAATTAAGTATTTCACGTGGTCATGTTGACGATGATGTTGAAGATTTAACGAGCGCTTCCACAGGACCAGGTATCGCACGCGAGGCATGAACAGAACTATATGAATGAATGAACCTTAATGCTAGCTGCGACTGCAACATGTCTTTAGACCTTTTCCATTCTTCGCCTTTTTAGAGATGGTGGACAGGGGCGTAGCTACCATTATACATGATTTGGTGCTAAAAATGTTGGCCAAGCCCTCAATGCTATCTAAATATAAAGCTTTGCAACCTATGGAGTTTACACAAAAAACCTTGGCTTGCTACGCGCCTGGTGTCACTGAGGTAGCCTAACGGTTAAAGCGTTCGGTCGTCATGCTGAAGACCCTGGTCCGATTCCCAACATGAGGGCAATGCGTGAAGCCCATTTCTGAACATGTTATTCCACAAACTGAGCCAAATCCTTCAAAATTCCTTGCGTTTCTTGTGTATTGTAAGTCAGGACGCGTCATCAACCTTTTTCTGTAAAGTTTCCGTACTTTTGGTGTGTTCAAAATCTTCCATGTACTTTTCAACCGCGTTGTTATTAATTTAAATATTCGTTCAAACTATGTCAATCTTCAGGCTATTTGTAGCCACTGGATCTCTTTCTCAGTGTATGTTGTAGCTATACTATTCACACTTTGCTAAGGATCAAATCATGGATTCAACAAAAAAACTATTCTGTGGGGTCAAATTTGGTTTAAATACCTAGTAAGCTGATTGTAAGCAATGATCCTAGGTTTCAGTATGTCATTGCATCTTGTGGATCCCATACCCGTTATTGACATGTGTTGTTTGTTTGTCAATGGCTCAGTCCATGATTTGCAAAATGGTTGATCGATGCCATAAAAAAACATTTTTATGGTTACTCATGTATCAAGTGCATAAGGTTTGATTAAAGTGGCTGTTTGCCTAAAGAGGGGTTGCCATATTATTATTTATCTAGTTTTAAATGGATACAAGTTCAAATTAAAAATCTACGTTTAAGTAAAGTTGTGACTTTTCGTGATCCTTATCAAAGTGTGAGTAGTATATATTGAATTTGTTCCGAAACTTTTCTGTAAGAGATATTTTGCCTGTTTGTATGCTCGGGCGTAACCACCCGTTACTAAATCATGCATGCCACCACAAAACACTGTTTTCAATGGGCAGGAGCACGCTCGCATTGCTTCGGGTGTTTTCAAGTTACTGTGAATCTGTTAACGGTTTTAAAAACTATTTTTGACATGACTTAATGGCAATGATCAAAATCTTCCAGTTGTTCTGTGCGCAAAACTACATTTTCCTTGTGCTCCGGTCATGTGCTCTTCTTGTTCCTGACTCTGACGCTGAACGACAGTGTTTTTGTTCAACGCCGCACTCAACAATATTCCAGCTATATGTCGGCGGTCTGTAAATAATCGAGTGTGAACCAGACAATCCACTGTTCAACAGCATGAGCATCGAACTATGCAACTCGGATTGTACGATGACATGTATCGAGCCAGCGAGTCTGACCATCCGATCCCGTCAGTTGCCTCTTGCGATAATCATGGGTTGCTGAAGACCAGTTCTAACCCAGTTCTTCACGGGTGTTAAGGACACAATATTTGCCAGTGGGCATATCTATGAAGAAAATTAAGGTATGTATGAAATGCACATGTGGATTCATGCTCAGTCATCACTCTATAGATCTCTAAGACCATGAATACGATACATGTAATTTGTGAATACATTATATGAGAAGCGCTGACACTGAGAAACACTGCAATGTTTGTGAAATGAGTTGAGT